CTTTCTTGTGAGGTTGCTATCAAAATAAAGACATTTATTTGACTTCTAAATGGATGCGATGCATTACATTTCAAGAAAAACAAACTTATAACCAATAATTATTTAACTACTTAACAACAGATAAAATTGATTCTTTATTTAAATTTCAATTTAAGCTGGGAGTTGAGAAGTGAAAGTAAAACTCCTAGTAGAACTTGCAAGGTTGATAGTGATCTGAAAGTTTTTATCATCTAATTCAAAGATATAAAGGAATGCAGACATAACCTTGACAAAGGTGTGGCGGTATGGTAATAAAAGACAAATCAGTTCTGGGAAAAGTAATAACGTGAGAAATAAACTCAAAATAGTCTTGGTTTGATTCTGTTTGATATAAAAGGAAATAGAGGTAAACTCTAGATCAGTGACGGTTAACCTTTTTCTAAAGGTGTGCCAAAACTAGTACTGTCATTCAAGTCTCCTCTATTGTTTTAACAAAAGAAAAACCTTTTTAAATGTCCCCTTTGAAATGACTCATTTATTTGCCAAAAGTAGAGTGCATCACTTTGGATAGTTCAACCTTGTGAAATTTTCTTTATTTTCTTCATTCTTAAATACATTTAAGAAATAGCTATAAATCTATTTCAGCCTTCCCTGATCTAGTGCCCTCCAGAAAACATCATTTCTGAATTTTATGTCAGCATTTTGCAGGGTTTATCCTGCTCTTCACAATGTGGACATTTTAAAAAAAAACTATTTAGGGGTGGGAGGCAAAATCTATATGACATTGTGAACTCAATGCATAAGAGAAAATGGCCATGAAGACTTTGAAGGTAATATGGAATAAATGTAATTTTATAAGCCCCAGAAACAGATTTTCTGAAGATATAAATGAATTCAGCAATCTTAAGAAGGAGTAGTAAAAAGTTGCTGATCTACAATTAACAAGCACACATTCTTAACTATTCTTAGAAAAAGAATGATTGGCTACCAGCTTTAAAAATGATCTTAGGATTAGTTATTTCCAATTCTAGAAAGCATAAAGTAAAATATTTATGAATATTTTATTCATATAAATTTATTTCTTCCTCAGAGACAATTTACTAAAAATCATAGTAAATGTTTTTTCTGAGAAATATGGTTTTTGATCTCTAGTACCCAGATCAAGTGCCTTTTTTCTTTCTGAAAAGACACTGATTGTCACTATCAATACAGTAACTGAAAACTGATTAGTTTTCAGTTAATGTATTGAGTTATCTGTTAAGTTCTGAAAAATAGTTGCATTCCAACTATGCCTTCCAGATGCTTTAAACTACAGTTTCCTAAATTCTTAGCTGGAAATTTAGGAAATGTAGTCCATCTGGAGAGTGTTAGGTTGGAGAAAGTTGCCCCTTACAAAAAAAAAATCAATTTTAAGCATATGCTGACTTTAGAGCATGGTGTCAAAATCAAGGCCCATGGACCAGATCCAGGGTGCTTAGATCTGCCCTGTGGTGCTAGGAAATAGCAAAGGACTGGTCTGCTAGATCCCCCCCCCATGGCCCATTTTTGGCCTGGATGGTCTCCTGCAACACTCCGCCAGCCAAAATGGGCCATGAGGACCTCCAGAGGCCAAAATGGAGCCTCCATGGGCTGCATCTGGCTCTCCGAGGCTCTGTTTGGACCTCCATAGCCTCCCATGGCTTGTTACAGGCCGAAATGGAACCTCCGAGGACCACATTTGGTCCTCATCACTCCATTTCTCATGGCTTTACTATACTTATATTTTTTGAAGAGCTTGGATGGCCTGTTGCAGCACTAGGCCCCTCATGCTCTTCCCCACTCTGAGATACCTCAAGTGGATTTAATGACCTGTGTATTCAATTAACAAATGCATTAGGGAAAGCAGAGAGTGATCACGTTCATTTAATGGCATTCAATTAAACAAATCTTTGGGTTACTAATGTAATTGGCAGGCTCTATTACATTTGTAACGCCAGCATTTCCTGTATAATGAGAGTGAGGGAGGGTCTCAGGGAAGTCCTGCCTTAGTACTAGGCCACCGCAGGTTTCCCATTAGTCCCATGTCATGCTCACGATGGCCATGCCCACCATGCCCTCAGGCATCCCCTGCCTCCACCCCTCTAAAGTCAAACACAACCCTGATGCGGCACTCAATGAAATCAAGTTTGACACCCCTGCTTTAGTGATT